TACTCTCCCATCAGGTCAGACGCAGTCTCTGGCACACAGTTTGTGTAGTTTTATGAGGTTCGTAGTTTCATTTAATATCTATTTCCTTGTTTATTTCGAATCTTATATTAGTTGTTCTCCTAAATTGCTATCAATTTTGACCAGTACTTAATAGACCAAGCATAGATGGCATTGTATGAGCCTATGGGGTTCGTTCTTTGACTATGTTGCACGGAAATGCGAAAATCATGAGGAAACGGGAAACATCAACTTTTGCTCATAAACGCTTATTCGGAGAGTTTATGAGAGTTTCCGGAACGGGAAACGTACTCTTTTCTGAGAGTTTCCGTGCTACATAGTTCTTTGACTTCGTGGTTTTTGTAATTTTGTTTTAGATTGTATAGACATTAAGTGATAATCATTTTAAATGATACTCTCTGCATTCCCTATTTATTTTCCTTCTTGTCTAGTCATTGCTTGCTCGGTCTGTCTTCCCAGTTAAAAAAGTTTTGAAGTAAAGTTTATATCAGATATAGGTTCATGATGGTACAGTAATAGACTCTTGTATAACATTGCTTGCTAGCCTTGCTCGGTCTCTTGAATATTTTTGTTTGTTTAGAATGCACTCCTAGAAATAAAAGGCCGTAGTCCTTTGCGCTACTAAATTTGAACTCTACAGGCTAAGGATAATAATAATGAATTTTGTAATTAGCAAAAAGCTCCGGAATGTAAAATCCTTCTTAATATCCTCCTACCGTACTTTAAAGAAAGCACCAATACATATGTAGGATCATACCGCATCAATAATATCAAGACCTTCTAACTAAGATTTCATTTTTGTTGAATATTAGGTCGGCCAGGAGCCCAGGAAGCACTCACCATCACTCTGGCAGTTGGAAATATGAGATAAGATTTCAGTCTAAGAGAGGTTAGAATACATTTTTTTTAAAACAAAAAGGATAAATACTCTTGTTTTCTTTCTCATTTTTATTGGCTTATTATATTTTTGTAGGCATTTTTGCCTAATTGTTTGATCAATTGTTCATTTGCAAGTGTTTCAGCTATCAGAGAAACAATAGCACCGCCAAAAGAATACTAGATCTTCTTTTAGTTAGGAGAAACCAAACAGCAATTACAAAGTCTAAACAAATAGAAGGGAAACTAAACACCGATAGAATATTTCCTGATTTGTATTGAACTGATTAGCTGAACTTTAATGTAAACCATTTTTATGGAGTTCTATCTATAGTAATTGCCCTAGTGGATTTTCAATTTTAAGAACAAACATAAGTTCATGCCTCCATCATTTCGAACAAACTTAAACTCATGCCAACAACATTGTCATCATTTTTTCATTTTGAAATTTTAATGAATGCACATGCATTTATAATTTTGTGTATGTGAAATTTGGGCACATATTTGTTCATGTGATTCCATAATTTGTTTTACTTGAATTAAAATCTGAACACTTTGATTAATGTTTATATGTGATGATAGAAATAAAATTCTATATGTAAACTTACTAAATCAAATTTAATTTTATATGTGGTAATGTTATTTCAAATATCTAAACATAACTGGCAATGAAATTCTAGGTTTGTAAACTTCATTGACAATAATCCCTCCAATCACATTTCACCCTGTTTGTTTCAATAGAAAAGTAGGATGAGTATAATACAACAACATCCAAGCCTTATTCCCAAAAGATTATGGGGTAGAATGAATATAATATGTCGTAATTTTACCTGTCAAAACCAATAGATTTCTGAATTAAGTTTACGACCATAAGACTTTAATGTGATTGCATTATTCTCAATTACTCACCTGAAGTTTTATTGTGATTGAATTATTCTTCTTGGTGTATAACAAAAAAGCTTAAACTTACCTCCTGATAATGAAATATGCTTTCCAATGTGTTGGTGACATTTTTGTTTTTGTAAACTGGACATCCATATATATGCGCCAATCTTACTCCTATTACTCATTTTGTTTTAGAGGACAAACTATAACATAAATTAAAATGTCATATTAATAACTGCGGTAGCTGAATTAATGTACAACAACAACATCCAAGCCTTATTCCAAAAAAATAAAAAATTAGTTTCATAATATCACTATGTGGAGAAAAATGAAATACCCCGTAATTACAAATATATGATTATAATAAATGTTATTTACAAAAATGTGACTTCCTAAGTATAGTGACTATAGTAACTTAGTGTCTTAGTCATAGTAATTTGTATTCAATTTTTACTATAGTCTTATAGTGACTATAAGCCTATACTATAGTAACAATAGTCATATTTTTGTAATAAAGTTTCATTTCAGTAATATTTTTGAAAGAAAAATTTGTGAGATGTGTACACTTGTTTTTCCGAATGAACTCGGAGTGCCACAGAAGGCTCTTTCTACTATACTAACTTAATACGGGAGTATTTGCGTTTGTTTCTACTTTAAAAAAGTGACGCTTTTAAATGATTTTAAAGAAAGTGCTTAATAGTGGAAGTTGCTAGTGTTTTACTATAGAAGTGATTATGATGTAAAAGTTAAAGTCGAAGTGTTTGGTGGAAAAAGTGATTTTAGTTAGTAATGTTTTGTCAAATGTCCAGGTCTTGAATAAGCAAAGCTCCAGCGCAAAGCCTCCAGGTCTTAATATTTTTGTTCTCTATATTTCATAATTGGCCTGCTGTTTTCAACACACACATATTTATACTCGTATTATATATGAAGTTGATGCAGCGAAAAAGTTAAAATATTTGATTTTCTTAAATGGTGAATTGTCAAATAGCTTAGAGACCCGAATAAAAGACTTCCAAATGTTCATGTCCGGAATTCCAGACAGGAACCGTCGTCCGGACGGCGGCGTTTGGCCGCCTTCCCGGTGGAATTTTTTGATGAAATTTTTATGGCATGTTCTCTATCAAGTCTAGTTTATTCACAAAAAAATTCAGCTAAAGACTCAATCGGGAAGGTTGTCAAATGATTTTTGGAAGATAACTGCTTTTTATATGTATATTTTTGGAGCAGTTATCTTCTAAAAATCATTTGATCACCTTCCCGAATGATTTTTTAGCTGAATTTGTGTGTGGATAAACTAGACTTGATGAACATGTCATAAAAATTTCATCGAAAAATTCCACCGGGAAGGCGGCCAAACTCCGCCATCCGGACGGCGGTTCCGGTCAGGAATTCCTGACCGGAAGAGTACTCTGTGTGTATATACGTGTATATAAATATATATATTTTCTTTTTGAAACATATTATTTATATGTCCAAAGTTGTACATTGAGTGAAAGAAGAGTTGCGTTTCAAGGGAAGATTGTACTTCAGGGCAACTTATTTTTTTCAATATTTATAGTGTAATTTTTTTCATTTTTTGGATTTAGCTCACCACACTAATGTTAAAGTTTAGTATAATTACACTTCAGCCGAGTGCAACTCAAATTCCTGGATCCGTTGCTGGTGCGCTTAGTAATGAATGTGTTGTGCACAAATGTGCTATTGCTAAAATGAAGAGAGACATCTTCTCGCCATTGTTAACACAATGTTGTTAACAGTTTAGTTAAAGTCATTCTATTTTTTCAATTATCTCTAATTTAGACAATTCAACGAAAATTAGAAATTATGACTTTATGAGTGTTTCATCTCCTGTTTGATCTTACTTGGTCTTTCACTCTTGTGTGCGCGACTGTTAAATTGTTGAGATGCTTTTGTATATTCCTTTGCGCATTTTTCAGCTGCTTATCCAACTCTAAAATTTTCTTGTTCTATTTCACTTCATAGACAAATTTTTCATCCTCATTCATCATCTCTCACGTAATCTGAGCCACTACACACACTTTTGTATTTTCTTGATCAAAATTTGTTCAACAAAATGCATTTTGATCGTTCCTTCCAAATCTAATTCTAATTAGAAAGTTCCAGAACAAGAACAGGGAGAGGAATCTGAAAACTATTTGAAACCTCTATAATTTCTAATCTCTACTCATTGAACAAGAGTACAAGACAGTATATTGGTTTGTAGCATTCACATCCAAAGATAAATATCTTTCTATTAGAATTGAGAGTGTCTTTGGAAGAAATTTATCCATGAATGAGAATGTTACAAACTAGTATATTGCCTTGTCCAATGAGTGGAGATTAAAGATTAGAGAGATTTTAAGTAGGTTTCACATTTCTTTCCTGCTTCAAAACCTTTTGATTTGGAATGAATTTAAAATGTGTTTTGTTGAACAAATTTTGATTAAGAGTAATGCACAAGTGTATGTGGTGTCCCATAGTACATGAGAGCTGATGAGTGAAGATGTGAAACCCGTCTATGAAGTGAAATGGAATGAGAGAAACTCATAGTTGGATGGGCAGCTGAGAAATGCCGCAGAAAAATCTACAAAAGCATCTCAATTTGGCAGTCGTGCATACAAGAAGAGTGTAGACCAAGTTAGCAAAACCAATTGTAGGTGGGAGCATTAAGGACTGCCGATTCAGATGAAATTTTCTAAAAAAATGACTTTTTCTTGAATGGTCAAGTTAGAGATAATTGAAAAAATGACTTACTAAATTGCTAACAACTACTGCCGTGGCATGAGAGGATATATCTTTTCATTTTAGCAACAACACATCTGTGCGCACCTCTTTTTTCACTCGATGTACACCTTTGGACATATGAATAATTTGAGTAAAAAAGAACATATGTATGTGGATATATATATAGAGAGAGAAAACTTCATGTCCAGCCGGCCTGACGGGAACCGCCGTCCGGCCGAGGGCATTTCAGGCACTTCCCGGTGGAATTTTTTGATGAATTTTTTTGAGCATGTTTTTCATGAAGTCTAGTTTATCCATACCAAATTTCAGCTAAAAATTCAATCGGGAAGGCACTCAAATAATTTCTTGAAGTTAACTAGGCAGTTCATACATATAAACTGCCCAGTTAACTTCAAGAAATTATTTGAGTGCCCGATTGAATTTTTAGCTGAAATTTGGTATGGATAAACTAGACTTCATGAAGAACATGCTCAAAAAATTTCATCAAAAAATTCCACCGGGAAGTGCCCGAAATGCTTTCGGCCGGACGGAGCATCCCGTCAAGCCTGTTGGACAAGAATGAGACACACTCTCTCTCTCTCTCTCTCTCTATATATATATATATATATATATATATATATATATATTTAGTTTAGATCAAATAAAAAAAAGTCATAATGTGTAAAATAAGAATTAATCTTAGATATCCAAACCGTCACTTTGATGCATAAAAAACCTTATCTTTTGCACTTTTTCAATATTTAAGAAAATGTCATCCCGTCTAGATGTCGGAAAAGTGCATCAGATAAGATTTATTCGAAAAGTGCATTAGATAAGTATTATTGTGCATCAGATTGAGAGTTTGGACGACTGAGATTAATTCTTATTTTATACGTTAAAACTCTTTTTTATTTGAACCCTCCCCTATGTATGTGTGTATATATGCATATATATCCATAAGCTTTTCATTCGGGTGTTTCCAAGCTATTTGTCAATTCACCATTTGGGACTAAAAAATTTTAAAAAAAAGAAAAAATGAACACTCAACGGAATAAATGAAGATTAAATAACACATAAAAAAAAATATGGAGGTCTTTCTTAATGCCTCTGCCACCTACCTGTATTGCTGTCTCCGATCAACGAAAATGCCATATTATGTAAAAATGCCATCTATTCTCTGAAAATGCAATGAAGATTACATTATTACTCTTTGAAAATGTCAATTTTTTCTCTAGAACTGCCATCAAGATAGCATTATTGATGCATGTTGCCATTTTTCCGGTGCTGGTGCTGGGAGGTACCTTAGGCAGCGGCAAAGGCTTGCATATTTTTTTAACTATTTTTTATTTTATTTTTTATGTTTGTTTTATAAATTTTATATTTTCCTTTTTCATTTTTATTAATTTTTATAAACATTTATTTTTGGTTTTTTATATTTAAAAAATTTATTATAAGCAGAATTACTTTATGACATTTTATGTTTTAATTATTAATAAAAGTTTGATTTGTTTTAAAACATAGCATGGGTATGATTGGAAAGTTACTCCTATGGAGGGAATTTAAAAGTTATTCCGTATATTTCTATTTATGCCATTTAAATTTCATTTGGTTCTATTTGGAGGATATATCTATACTCCATTTTTTATCGCAAAAAGCCTAGTTATTATTACTAGCGCAAGACCCTTCTTGGATTTGGGACGGTCTTGTTGTTATGTAAACCTGTTCACGAACACTTATACTATCTATATAATTAGTGGACATCACTTATACTATCTATATAATTAGTGGACATCAACAAACACCTTACGACTTGTTTGCAATTTCCAAATGTGCTTCACTATTAACGGTCTTTTGATAATGATAATGATAATAATAATAATAATAGATTTTTCTAAAAATATTATTAAAATAAAATTCTTTTACAAAATATGGCTAAAAGTTTTCAAAATATAGGGTCATGATATAAAACCTGAAAATAAGTTATTACACTTAAATTATTATTATATTTACTACACTTTGTAATCGAGTATATGTGTATATGCTTATATTAGAATGTTTTTAATTGATCTGGTTTCAATCACACACCTCACCAGATCAGATCATTTTAACATATCTGACCACACACAGGGGCGGAGCCAGGACACTTTTATTTGGCCGGACTGGGCCAGTACAAAGAATATTTTTGAAAAAAAATTACACATAATTTTTTACACTTAAAATTTAGACATTTTTAAAATTTGGGCTGGGCCAGGGCCAGGGGTGGCCACCCCCTAGCTACGCCCCTGACCACACAAGACCATACTTAAACAGACTAGGTAAGACTTAGACATTTGTAAAATACACATAGAGCAATCATCTATCAAACCATGGAGACAAGGTGAGATCATATATTCACGGAACGTTAAGCTTACCAAAAGCTCTTAATTCCATCTCCAAATTAATGGCTATAAATTAAGTACTTGCACATTCTTAAAAAGTTATGTTTTCCTTAAATACGCATTTACTTATTTCCTCCGTTTTTGTTCATATAATGGTCTGTTTACCTTGTATGCATTAAATAGACGTCAGTCTTAAAGTCACAACTCACAAGTATAATCAAAGTCTGGATATAGGGAAATCTTCCTAGACATTCTTAATATGTATCCATCTTCACAGTTGTGTTTTGGAACATTCTTGATTGCTGCTTTTCTTTGCACACGTTTTGCATACCAAGTAGGTGGTGAATCTCTTGAGGGGGGAGGGCAGAATGAGAATTATACAACCATTTACGTCGACTCTTCTGGCCAGGGAAATTACCAGACAATCCAAGCAGCAATCGATTCAGTTCCTGCTGACAATAAGGATTGGATATGCATTCATATCAAAGCCGGAACTTATAGGTAATCCAATTTAAAGTCTTAGAGAAGGAAACTTCCCAAAACAGGAGAAGATAGTGTTTGAAAAGTACTTATTCTCACTATATACCGTCATGTTTCGACATTACTGATTTTAAATGTGGTGGTATACTGTCATACTACCTCCATTCCTAAAAATACTTCCCGGTTTGACTTGACACGCTTATTAAGAAAGTGGAAATGTATGATTGTAGTTGTGTAAGAAAAAAATAAAATGAATGTGAACCACACAAATTGTCCAAAAAGGAAAAGTGAAAAATATTTTTAGGAACGGTCCAAAACGGAAAATGAGAAGTATTTTTAGGAATGGAGGGAGTAGTTGACAATTTTTTCGAACCCTTACGATAGTAACTCATCACAACTTCCAAGCCTTATTCACAAAAAATAACAATAATTTATCCTATATGGGAAAAAGTTACTCTTTTTTTTAGATTTCGAAACGTTTTTACTCATATTTTGGACGATTTAAGTTAAATTAATTAATTCTTACTATTGGTCCCTCTTGGAAATGAATTCGTTTACACTCGGGTCTGATCGGGGTTAACTTTTCAAACCACATATTTTTTTCAAAATCTATGCATCGGAGAAAGTTGAATTATATTTTTTATTTATTAAATTAGGAAATCAATTTTCATGTTTTTAGTGTTTTATATTTATTTGTAGATATACGATCAAAAAATATATATTTACGTTTAGATATCGTAAATTTACTAAAATAAATAAGTTTCTAATAGTGACTCTGGTCCATGGATCATGGAAAAATATGCGGCTTTAAAAAAATTGCCCTAATTGAACATATAAGCTTAAAATAAAGAATACACAAAATTTGAAAAAATAACGCCTTTTGTTTTTGATGTGATTGTAGCTATTATTTCAGTAAAAAATATACTTCCTCTGTCCCTTTTTATTTAGCCAAACACTATTTTTCGCAAGTCAAAGTTGTTCAACTTTGACCGATTATATATTTATACAAGGTAATATTGATAATATGACAATTATATGAAAATGTTTTTTGTTGAAAATACTATCATAAACGTATAAATTTATTAACTTTTACATAAATATATTAGTCAAAATAATGGATCAAAGTTTATCATCTTTAATCGGAAAAGTCAAAGTTGGTTAAATAAAAAGGGACGGAGGTAGTATTGTTTAACTTACAAACTATAAAAGTACTTATTCGCTTGTTAATATTTGTTTGTGAAAATGAAACGATCGAATTTCTATGTCTCAACAGCAACAGAAGGATGAAAACATGTATCTAGATTTGAAAATGGAAAATTGAAAAAAAAAAACAGGAGAAAGAAGTAAACGAGTCCGTTTATTCATTGATCACCCAGAGATGACAAACAGACACATAATTATATTGTGATAACACGAATCCCGAGCCGAGACATTGCCAAGATCAAGCTCTTAATGGGGTGTTTGGTAAATGGCGTTTCAGCCAAAAATGACGGTTTGATCTTTTGGCGTTTTCGATGAGTGAAAACGTTGTTTGGTAAATAGCGGTTCGACACTAGCGTTTTTGGACGGAACCGTTGAAATGAAAACACTGCAAATATGAGAGTTTTGAGTTAGCGTTTTGGAAAATGACGTTTTCTACTAATTTTATGGCTAAACAGCTACAATATCAAACATTTTCTGAAAATCCGCCAATTTTATTTCGTTGGTCACACCCGCTTATTGAATCCGCTATTAACAATCCGCTAACCGCTAACTGCTAAATGCCTAATACGCCCAGTCGCTAACATCAGGGGCGGACGCATGTATAATATAATTTAATGGGGGCACATGCCCCCAATGACTTTTCACTTTTATTGTAACATAGGTTTAGATATGTAAACATATATACCGTAAATAAGAAGGTGCCCCCAACGAAAATAATGGAGGACCCCAACCAAGTTGGACAGCCCACTTTTGTACTCTAAACTAACTTTTTTTTTTTGTCAATTTCTATAAAGTACTCCGTAACTCTTAATCCAATTGTCATTTACATATGAACCGGGAGTTTTACAATAATATCCGTATAATTGGAGTAATCTTAGGATCTATTTGACAATTGTCATTTATGAAAGCCTACAGAATATGGTGTGAATTTGAGTTTTTCTATTTAGGATCTATATTGCTATTTTTTTTGTAGAATATACACTTTTTATTTAGTTTTATATATTCTTTAGATTAGATTTTAATCTTTTATAATCATAAATTCTAGTTCCTTAAATCGTGTCAATCATGATTGATTTGTGGTTGCATTAATAATTTAAATGTATTGTTGATTTAACTTCACAATATTTAATTTCTCTTAGTCAATGACTAGTTTAATTTAAAAAAAAAAACCAAAAGTGTTCACGGTAGTATTCAAAATTATAAAAATAATATTTAAAACTAAATTTATTGAAGGCTAAAGGGTCAAATAGGTCCTCCAACTAACTTAAAAAGTGCAATTCACCCCTTATATAGGAGACTCTGTCCGGCGTCATCATTTGGGGCGGTTTTTGGTGGAATTTTTTGATGAAATTTTGTGAGCATCTTCTTCATCAAGTCTAGTTTACTCATGCCGAATTTCAGCTAAAAATTCAATCAGGAAGGCAGTCAAATGAAATTTTAAAGATAATTGCGCAGTTAAACAACACAGTACATTTCAGAAAATTATTTGACTGTATTCTCGGTTGAATTTTTATCTGAAGTTTGGTAAGGGTAAACTAGACTTAATGAAGAAGATGTTCAAAAAAATTCATCAAAAAATTCCACCAGGAACCGCCCCAAATGACGATGGCCAAACAGAACCTCCTATATAAGGGGTGAATTGCACTTTTCAAGTTAGTTCGAGGGCCTATTTGACCCTTTAGTCTTTATTGAAAGATACTTTTTTGTGAGAACACTGTAGTCAAATTTGTGCATTGGTATTGGTTACCAGTTTTAATCATCGATTGTTTTATTTCTTTATGTCAAAAAACATGTGGTTGATACAGTTACAAGCGATGGGGCGTTTTCAAAAATTGAAAACTCATAAAGAGCAACTGTAATAGAATGTACTCGTAGTATTTTGAATTCTGCTAATATTGGATTATTTTATTTTTTAGTTAATTTATATTTAATTGTTTAATTTTTTTCACTTTTTCTTAATTAGTGCCCCAATGGTTGAAGTTTCTAGATCCGCCCTTGGCTAACATTTAACTTTTTATTATTAGGCCTTTAATTAATACGCCCAGTCGCTAACATTTAACTTTTTATTATTAGGCCTTTAATTAATTAATTAATTTGCATGAATTTTTTCTTTCTTTTGATCCAACCCTGCGTGTAGAGAACAGGTGAGGATCCCGAGCGAGAAGCCATATTTATATCTAAAGGGAGAATCACAAAGAAGAACGGTCGTAATTTGGGATGGACATGACAGCATTCAGAAAGCCACCTTTTCTTGTGATGCTGAGAATATACTCGTCAAAAGCATCACTTTCATTGTACGAAATCAATACTCTATTTTATTTCTACTTTCAATCCCCCATTTTATTTTAAACTATTTGAGTTCGTCCCCAAATCGTAAAAACCGGACCGGAGAGTGATCCGGCCACATGACTGGGTCACGGGTCAACCCGGACCCGGTGGGTCAACCCGGTCAACGCCGGAAAACCGGTCAATGATTATACGTCTATATAATAATAGTAAACATATAATTATATATAAAATTATAATAAAAATTAGTTTTTATTCATAATAATCAACTAACAATACTACTTATTAAGCATTTATTACACTCTTATAATATTTCAATGTATATTTTGATCTTATAAAAATATATAATGATATTTTTATTTTTATTGTACATCTATATTATAATTTGGCATGATGATCATTCTTAAATAAACATATAAATATATTACGTAGTTTTTCTTTTTAAGATATTAAAATTGCAAGTTTATTGGTATAAAAAATGCATTAAAAATAAAAAAGAAATTACTTTTTTTGGTAAAAACACCCAAAAACTGGGTTTTACTGGGTTTTTCGGGTTTCTTGGGTCCGGGTCTTGACCGGGTTTTCCCGGGTCAGCCGAGTTTTTCCGGTTTTTTGACCATTTCCGGGTTTTGAAAAAACCGAACCGGTTTTTTGTCTGGGTCACCGGGTTCCGAGTCAACCCGGGCGGGTCGGGTCGGTTTTTTAAACATAGCTGGCCCAAACCCCAAATATGGCCTGCAAATTCGAATATTTGTTGCAATTATGGGTTGCAAGGTCTACCACAAATTTCTCACTTTTCAGGATTTAAGAGTGCAAATTCAAAGTATTTTTCAAATTGAGTTTAAAATTGAATTATTGAAAACTCAAATTTCTCAAAAATTGGAGTCCAATTTGACTTTCAAGAATACCCATAATTAATTTGAAAGCAAATACTAGTAAGCTAAATATAGGGATGATAGTAATATTCACTTATTATGAAAACTGATTCTCTCTAAATTATTGATTGATGGTGAATAGAATTCATACAACTATCCGCCGGAAAACAGCACGAACCCAAGAAGAGTGGCGGTGGCAGCAAAGTTATCCGGTGATAAAATGGCGTTTCACCGGTGCGGGTTTAGGGGATGGCAGGATACGCTGTGGGACGAGGGTGGCCGCCACTACTTCAAAGGATGCTCCATTAGTGGAGCTGTAGATTTCATTTTTGGTAACGGCCAATCCATCTATGAGGTAACTCAATTTTTTAATTTCTTTTTTATTTATTTTGTATTTGTTGTTATTTTGTGAATATTAAATAATGACATCACTAAAACATCCCATTTCAAATGGATTGCTCTCCAAAGTTTATGCTCATTTAGTAACACAAAAATTGTCATTTTATCTTTTAAATGTGCATTATGAGAGGAAAACTATAGACCTTCTTCAAAATACTCCCTCTGTTGCATTTTGGTTATCCTACTTTCTTTTTTGGGTTGTCCCAAAATGAATGTCTTGTTTTCTTTTTTGGCCAGAAATATGTGGTCCTTAATCCTTATCATTTCATTTTATTGTACTCAAATCATACTCAAATCTCAACCAATATTTTTACTGTTCAACCACTTTATTAATAATCGTGTCAAATTAAAATAGCAAAGCCAATATGGGACGACGGAGGTAGTAATAGTTAAATTATACTCCATATACTCATACCTAAATTTAACATTCATGTTTTCTCTTTTTAAGGTCAATGTTATGCATTTGTAAAAGTATCAAATGTTTTTTTAGGCTTTGTTTGCAAGTGCTTGTGCTTAAATAAAAGCACTTCTTGGGAAAAAGTGATTAGTAGTAAAAGTTGGTAGTGTTTGGTAAAATAAGTGTTTTTTGTGTAATAGAAAAAGTAAAAAGTAGATTCTACACGAAAACCGAGAAAGTAAAAGTTGGTAGTGTTTGGTAAAATAAGTGCTTTTTTTCTTAGAAAAAAGCCACAATCATTTAAATTAAGGGGTTGCAAACAGAGCCTGATAATGTACAACAGAAAGGATTCTAGTACTCTGCTAAGGGTCCGTTTGGCAAAACGGGAAGTATTTGAAAAAAAGGATGTATGGAGTACAGGAGTAATTGAAGTTTATTTCCAAATTAATGCTAAAATATAAGAGCATCTCCAATGCTATAATGTGCACGGTGCACGTGTGGCATGATTGATAGCCATATAAATATTAGCAAATAAATTATCTCTCTCCTTATTTGAATGATTTTATACAATTTTGGTAAGTTTTTCCCTGCAATGTCAACAACAATGTCAACATCTAGACGGTCTCCTTGACATTGTGGAGAAAAACTTACCGATACTGTATAAAATCATTTAAATAAGGAGAGAAAGAATTTATTTACTAATATTTATGTGGCTATCTCTCATGCCACGTGTGCACCGTGCACATTGTACCATTGGAGATGTTCTAAATTATTTACAAAATTGGAGTGTGGTTAAAATTATTTACGAAAATACTGCTCATCAAACCACGGTCGGGAGAATCGCCTAACCAAAGGGTGACTTTGCTCCCAACTTCGGAAGGTAACATGCGCTGGAATAGAAATGGCCTAGTGTGGAGGAGGGTGGGATAAGGTGGCACGTGGACCTAAATTAAAAAAAAATCACTTTTTTTAATTGTTATATCTTTTACTTTTTTGCTCAAAATATTTTAAAAAATATACCAAATTTCATAACATTTAATAACCTTTCATATAACATCAATATTAGATATATAAAATTAAAAAAATATTTGAAGACCATGTGAGGCTAAAAAGGCCCGTTGCAACCCGTAAATTACATGGTACAATTGGTTGTACCATGCACACAATACAACCGAGTATTTTTACTCACACATAATGAAATGAGTATTAATATGAAATTATAAAATTAGTACATAAGTATTTTTTATGATAATACAATGATAAATAGTTAAATGAATAAGTTGATTTGTGGCATATATATTACGTGTAGATCATGATACTCAATTATACACTTCTAATGCTCTATTTTGCTATCAATACAGTAATTTAATACAAATGCTCATTTTTTAAGGTAATACTAATTACATGTAAAAAAAGTAATTAACCAGTTGCACGGTAAGCACTGTACAACCGGATGTACGGTATAGGCTCTCGTTGCAACAATGATCTGTCATTGGTTCAAAATTTTCATAAACAAATCGAAATGTAAAAAATAAGATATCATTGTTATGATGACCTCTTTTAGATTTTTTTCATAGGAAGTAAACTAATATGTTTAGTGAATATATTGACAATTCTAGCTTTTATAAAAAATGTTACCCCGTAAATCAATTTTTAACATATAATCTATCATCGTCAGTACATTCACTGCCATTTTTGTAAAAACAAAATCTTTACGTAAGGTTTAGTGACGGAGCATGGGTGCAACTGGAGTACATTTAGTGACTCTGATTTTCGACGTATCAAACTTATTAGTCAACTTTTTAACCAAATACGTAACTTTTGATTTCGCGCACTACATTGTGTAATAATAAGAAAAAGTAAGGTTGCAGTTGCTTTTCTAGCTGTATTGGTTGAAGTTACTGTGGATGACCATTTTAGCTATTTTTCATATAATTGATTCGTTATTTTATTAATAAAATATATTTTAAATATAATTTTTTCATAGATCAGAAAATTTTTCCAATACAACCACTTCAACCAGAACTTCATAAATTTAATCAGAATCAGGCGATTCAGCAAATTTCAGTGCTACCAAACAGACTCCTAACCTTTTCACCTCATGTGGCATTGTGGTGTTCAGATTCTTTTAACTTTATATATATGATATTAGTGTCATATGAAAGATCTTAAAAAGTTATAATATTTGGTATATTTTTTTAAAAAGTTGGAGTAAAAGATAACCGTTTAAAGAAAAAGGGTTTTTTTTAATCTTTTGTCTCCCACCTTTTTTCCTCTCCTGTGCAACACTGTTTGTGTCTTCCAGCTCTCGGCCGACCGTGTTTTGAAGCAAAGTCGCCATACCATTGGGCGTTTTTGTTAACTATAGTTGAGATCTAGCAGTATTTTGGTAAATAATTGTAACTTGACCTTATTTTTGTAAATAGTTTATTTTTTAGCATTAATTTAGAAAAAAATTCAAATAAATCTTTATAGAAAATGAAAGTGTTTTTTAACTTATCTTAATTAGTTAGTCAATATATAGGAACTTAAAATCTTAACAATTAATTATTCCATAAATATTACTTTCTTACTTCTCATTGTAGAGTTGTTCTATATCAGTAGAGAGAGGTGCTGAAGAAGGGATGATTGGGTACATCACAGCACAAGGGAGGCAGGACCCTGGAGAAAGCAGTGGGTTTGTATTTAAGAAATGCACTGTTCATGGATCTGGTGAAGCTTACTTGGGAAGGCCATGGAGAGACTATGCTCGAGTCATCTTTTTCAAAACTTACATGGATAACATGATTGTCCCTCAGGGATGGACAACCAGTTCTGACACTTCATCCAAGTGAGTATAAACTAACTCTATAATATTACCTTGTTAATAATTACTTTCTCTTTCCCATAAAACTTTATCAAATTGAGACCGTATGGTCTTTAAAGTCTAACTACTTGAAGACTCCTATATGTTATTATTGGCATACGTAGTCTAAAATTTTGTCTAAAATAATGGTGGATGAAAATTCAGAAAACATAAAGATATTTCCCTTTAATGTGAACTCGTAGACATCTCCCTTTAATTTTTAGCGAGTTCTAGCTTATAGGCTGTGTGTTAATGTAAAATCAGAACTCCAACGAGGAGCTCAAATGCTCAATCCTTGTCAGGCTCAACCTGAGCACATGAACTTCAACATTGAATTATTCCGACAAGTCGCTTTGTTTGGAGGCATGTAAGCATGTTAAGTCATCTTACATCGATCCAATATAAAATGACAAACTCACATATAAAGCCTTAGGTTTAGCCAACTTTGTAAAGCTTTTAAGATGGCATGGGACTCGAACATCCGCCAATTGGTATGTACAATGTATCATGGTATGTACAATGTACAATTTATCATTAGTTGGTTCCCTAATCATTAGGGAACCGACTAAATTATCCGTGCTGGTTTAAAAAAGGTGAAATCTCTCACTCATTCACCTACCATAACTCTGGCTTAATAGAGTTGTGGAGAGGTAATTGTTGTGACTATAGCGCCCCCATCAAATCCATCAATCTATCATCAAAAGACAAGTCCCTCACACTCCCAAGCCCCCAAAGAATCCCACAATATAATTCATCACTAGGACATGTACTATGTCTATTGGTGCAACCTATCTTCAAGTAACCAACTAAATTATCCCTGGAGATTCAAAAAGGTATAAGAACATGCATGGATATGAGACCTTTCAACAATCTTAATCAGTACAATGTGCTTCCTTTTAATTTGCAGTATGTTCAATTCTTGATTTGAACTCCAAATTAATAACTGTCATTTGGGTTGACCATTGTGTATTACCATTGATCCATCATAAAAGTGAACTTAATTAACGTATTGTTATCATTGACTTCATTGTCTTATTATTGGGTTTGTTGCCATGCATGCAGTTTGGATAAGTTGACATTTGCAGAGCAGGAGTGTAGTGGACCAGGGGCAGAAAGGTCAGGGCGAGTGAAGTGGGTAGCGGAACTGAGAGGGGATGAGTTGGATAAATTTACAAGCCTCTCTTACATTGATGAAGATGGCTGGCTTCGTGGCCTTCCCCAAAATAAGCTGTTTGTGTAAAATTACCAGCATATACCATCATCATCTTCCATACATGGCAGTACTATAGTCTATAAATATCATATAAATGGCAGTAAAATAAAAAAAACAAGATTTTATACGACAGAAAATTTGGTGCAAAATTCTTTTTAATATATATAACCATATTTTTACATGGTTTATGTATGTTTTGGTCCCCTGCACCGGCTGCACATATAGCATTTCTAGTGTCACAACTTGTCATGTATGTAAAATATTTTCTTTTTAGTGCCACTATAATTCTGGGCAATTTTTATTAAGCAAAAAATTATTATCTGCTGCGTAACTGAACGCTAGTCAGAACTCAGAACTGTGAACTTCATCAATTTGTTACTTCTTAAAAACCAAATTAAATTTAAAACAGTATGATACTAATCATTCATCTTTATAAAACAATGGGAGGTTTTTCACATGGTTTTTGTAGGTTTTTGTCCCTACGAATATAGCACTTCTCAATTCACATATGATGAAAATGATGTTGATATTAAACGAGTTTTAGTTTGAATATGTCCCGAAAAGAAGAGTCTGGAGGAGAAAAGTGGGAGTAAAAATTGAAAGTATTGAACGGACATTAATTTGAATTCACCCCAATTTAATTCCATGAACACCTTTGCTCATTTTCATTTTCATTTACCCCAGTTTCGCAAAGACTCCCACCTACGGTGGAGTAAGGGGGGGTCGAATGTACGCAATCTTACCTATGTACTAAAGTACAGAGAGACTGTTTCTGGATGACCAATACTGAAAATTGCGTCCAAAATTGCATGGACTGACTATTGCTTCATAACAAAGAAGAGCAGACAGTTTAGTGAGTCATTTTTCTTTATTTCATCATATTATCAAGCCAAAAAAATAATGAATCTTTGGCTCCATTGCAAATGATTCATTATTTTTGCAATTCAAATTATTTTTGTAGACAGTCTGAGTAGAGATTATTATTGTACAATCTGTAAAAATAGGGATTATTCTTATGAATTTCACCAAAAAGTTATTGTCTGTTGCGTAACTATAATCAAAACGGTTAACTTCATTAATTTATTACTGATTAATTAACAAAAGGGGAAAGATGTATATACACCTCCGAAGAATACAAGCAGGTGCATTTATACTTTTTGTTCACGCAATATTTAGTTATATCTATATTGTTTATGTTACTTTAGTATGTGGCATGTTGAACTGCTTAATATGTTACAAAGATGTATGTACACCTCTGTATTTTTTTTACCCCAGGGAGCATTGGTGGAGGGTGGTTTGGGGGCCTAGGGTAAACTGATATCAATCTCACTCCATTGAGAAATAAATCTGAGACCTCCCATAATGGAAGTGAGTCAACGACCAGCTGGGCTGGACCGCTTCCTCACTGCTTAAACTTTATCCGAACATTCACAACAATAAACTCCCATATATTTGTAATTAAGATGCCAAACATATATGAAGAGTTTCATCCAACCATCATTCCAACAACAATGGCGGAGGCAAAAAAACGTGCTAGGAAGTTGAAATTTAATTATATCAAGTATCAAAGTGCTAGGAAGTTGAAATTTAATTATATCAAGTATCAAAAGGGCTGATCGTTATTAAGCAATACTTGAGTTAGATGTATTGGCAAATTGGTTGTAAATGGGACGAAATAAGTACGAATAAGCTGCCATAGGGCTGCTTTTGTTTTTTTATATCTTAAATAGGACTCAATTTCAGGATTATTCCGCTTTTACCCTTAATAATGTACGTTGCTCCAATCATGCCCAAACCCCATCTCCCTTGTTCGGTCCAGTCATATTCCAAATCATATCCCAAAGGCCAAAACCCCACATCCCTCTTCGTTTTTATTTCCTTCGCATGTATCAGTCAACAAAGCAAGTGCTCAACAGTTCCATGGCCGGCATTTTTGGACGAAGGTGGGACGAAGCAGTCGGAAAATTCATGGACGACGGTGAGGTGTTCCTCTTTTGCTTCATCTTTCCGTCCTTGTTTCATCTTTCTGTGGCAAAGAGCTCACATCTCTATTTCTTATTTGATTGTAGAAAAATTCCAAAATTAATTAATCTGAAATGCCATCAAAATGGCATTCTTACACTTCAAAAATTCCATATTTTCCTCTGAAAATGTCATTCATATGGCATTCTCAATTCATAATGGCATTCTAATGAAAATATTGGCATAGATGGCGGGGTCCGCTAGATCTGCAACGGCGAAGCTTGGATCTGAAGTGGCGGCGCTCAAATCTGCAGTGGCGGCCGGCAGCGGCTGGGGGCGGCCAGATCTGCGGCAGTCGCCACCACCACCGCAGATCTGGAGGTGACCAACCCGCTGGCGGTGGTGGCAGCCGGAGTTGACCACCCTGATTCCCGTTGGCAACAGTATGTTTGGGCAAGATTGAGGGGTATATATGTCCAACTACAAATAATAAGTCCTATTTTGGAAAATTTTAAACTTTACTCTTTCAGCAATTAAAGTTCTTTTTACTCCTATTTGGGTAAATACCTCTTCAAAGTATCATATGTAATTGAGATAATGAGACCTTTTCAGTTGATGTATTGATATATACTCTTCAAAGTATCATATGTAATTGAGATAATGAGACCTTTTCAGTTGATGTATTGATATATACTCAGTAACATATCATAAAGTTCGCACAACTAATGAAATTAAAATTATTAGAATTTCATTTTTCAAATGATCCGATGGCTGTTGCCAAAAAATTATCCAATGGTTGAAACTAACATTTAATGCTAATGACTAAAAAATTTGGACCATTAAATTTGGTTTTTAGCTCAATATGAAGTTCCAGATGAGATCATTCCTCTAACATAAGAATTTCAATTATTCATGCAATATTGCACTTCACCAAGGCCACAAGGCCCACAATACTTCTTTCTCCACCTCTCACCCTCAAAGGCTCAAACTATCAAAGTAGCAAATGTACCAAAACATCACAAACACAATTACTTTTCAAGAGGCACAAACAGCACTTTTTTGTTGTGAGGCGCACAAAATAGGTCAAACTCATCCTATCCTCATAAAAAACATTACAATAATAAAGATTAAAGTTTCAGAAAGAAAAAACTACAGAACACGTAGACTATTATATTCTTCACCCGGTGAAACTTTCTCTGTTCAGAACTAAAACAAAACCAAAAAACAGTACATTCAATAAATTATATTCAAACCTTTACTCTTTTTTTTTTTGCTTTTTGGATGTCTTTAAGCTTTCATCACCCTGCTGCTGTTTTTTCTCTTTTTCATCTCTCCTGACTCTTTTCTTCTCATTTTTGTCGCTAGATTCGGATGGCACATTATGCTCACTTTCCCTTATAAGAGAACCATTAGTGCCATCCTTGACCTTTTCAGTTCTTTGTATTTTACTTTTCACTTTCGAATAATCATCACCCACTGAGTACTTGTCCAATCCTCTCTCTCCGGATGATTGCTTCTTGGCTGACTTCGTTTTAACCTTTGAACCCTGATGAGCCAAAAACGGGACACTAGATGTTCTGGAAGAAGCTAAACTAGTCTCGATGTCTTTCTTCATTTCGTTTAACTTTTCAGGCTGTGACTTATGACGAGTGTCAGCAAGAAAACTATCTTTTCTCGTTTTGGTATCAGTGGTTCCAAATTCAGCATAAAATTCCTGTCTGACGGATTGATTTGAGGCTTGTCTTTTTTTCCATAAATCTGGTTGTTTTGCATATCTATGATCACAACAAACACGCGTAAGCAGAGAAAACCAACGAATATAAAATCTAATGCTTACATAGATTGAAACAAAGTCCTTCCATGAACTTTGTTCCGAACTCTGCAAAAATATATATATAGAAATAGATCTGACAGCCTGCATTATGTGTGACCATTTTCAGACGGTTCCTGATCATCTCTCTCTGTGTGGGATGAAAAACAAATGCGAGTCCATTTTAAATTTTATTTACAAGGTGTGGCCTAGGGCTGGGATTTTAGAGCCATAGAACCAATTAGAACTGCACTATGAATACTCGGTTCAGTTCCTACTTGTGAATTATAAGTTCTTAACAGTTCAGTTCCTAGTCTTTGTTAACGGGCCCGATTCCTGCTAAAATTATGTTAGGGGAACCGTTAAGGAAACATTATTTTATATTTATAATTATATTTACAGAATTATAGTTATAGTTATTAGTACTTATTACATATTATATCTATATGCATAGTTATGTGTGCGTTCTTGTGCATGTATGCATGTGTTGTAATTAAATCCAGCTAGATGTATATCCCAATGCATCTTTTGCTAATAGTTGTTCACTTGACATTCTTTTTCCTGTTATTTTTTTATTTGATAATTTATTGATATTCTTTTTACTAATTTGTTAGCTTCATATTATACTTTTCTATAATAATGATTAACCAATAACACACAAGAAACGAACCGATAGGATATTAACGGTTCTTGAAAAAATGTTAGAAGAAAACCAATATAGAATAACGGTTATTCGAATGGTTCCAAATTCTTTTCAAAGAACCATACTGATCCCACCTTTGGTGTGGCCAGGAGAACCTAAAATGCCGCTTATTTATACAATGTATACTCACACCTTCCTGTGAAATTGATTTTTATTTGTATAACAAATGCTCTTAATTTACTACATTCTGAATTTCTGATGGGCCCTATGCTTTATATTTTCATCACAACAGGTGAATGGTCAAAATTTGAGGGGAGTGGAACTTACCCATCAATATCAAACCTCCTAAGCAGGAAAGGTCCCTGTTTTGTTCTTGATAACTCAGCTCGCAATGGTAACATCTCTGAAACAATGGTCTCCCTCAAAGATAAGTTGCTTGTATTGAAGCACTTCTCAATCATAAATGAACCTGATGGATGAACTGAGAGCTCACCAAAATGACCTTGCAGCCTAAAGTGTTAACGTAAGTTTCATGGTAAATATGTTGTAAAGAGAATATAATTCAGCCTGAAACAAGAAAATAGCCGAATAAACTAACAAGGGGTAACTCCAAATACGTACTTGATCACTAACTTCCTCTTCAATTTTGCAGAAACATTTGAATTTAAAAATGCTTCAATAACGCGTGAACCGCTGGGATCTTTAGATACTGCAAGAAGTTGATGTTCTTCCAAGGATGTGATACTAGAAACAAAAGTTTTTACAAGTTCCTAGAGGAGGCAAAATTCTGAATAATTAAGATTATCATATTCAAACTGAAGTGCATTTAGTCGTTGAAAGTAAAGCAGCAGGTCACATCTAATAGAATTTTTCATATTTTAGTACCACAGCTGTTGAGTCATTGACATATTTAATTCCTAACCATTAGTTTGGCAACATTTAGTCCCACAAATTCATTAACATTACAACATTTGGTCCTCAAATAATTTATTCGTCCAAAAAAAACTCAACTCATGAGTACATTAAGTGAATCCAGATCCATTCAATGAAGTACATGAAAGCTTTGAGATTCCATTCGGGCAATATCAATTCAACCAAAGAAGAGCATTTTGCAATTACTGGATTTCCCCTGGATTAAGGTTTATTAGATGAAAAGAGAAAAAGAAACTATTTATGTGAATATACGCAAATTCATTATAACAAAGGGTGGTTAGACTAAAAGTTAGAGACTATGCTGCAGCACCCAAATAGTTATGGAACTAAGAGTAACTTAGTCACAAGTTAATTTTGCATTATAAAACCAAGACAAAAAAATGACGTTAACATGCAACAGAGTAATAATAAGTTGAGCAAGCTAGGGATAAATGAGGTGTTTCAATAAAATAAATAAGCCTGATTTTCTTTTTTTCTTTTCCTTGTCTTCTCTGAACATGATGTGATCGCATATAGAGGTCAATCAACATCAAATAGGTCACAATATGCTTATTTAGTAAGGCAATAACCCACCCCTTTTACCCCCACTATAGACTAATAAAAACACTGAAAACCATGAAAACCAATAAAAAAAGACTTAACACATACACTGTGAAACCTAAAAATTGACTGCAGGATCAAAGAACCAACAACATGTATCCTGGAATGGCTTGACCAACTCCAATTAAGCCTGTCTTCAGAATTAAAAAAACTGTCAAGGAACAGTATGCGTGGAATAATGCACTTGAGAGATTCATCCCCTACACATACAGCAGAAGCAAGTGCCTGACAACACTGCACCAAGAATAAGGGAAAAGTTTGAGACACTACATCTATTTTTGCTTAAGCTAGTTAGTAGAGGTGAAAACATATGATCACAAATCCAAACCTCTGCTTCACGGTGATTGAGCTTTTGTGTTGCAGCAATAAGAGAAGCAATAACTCCAGACCGGCCCATTTCAAATAGCTCCTTAAATTTAGTTCCAAGCTCACCCCAGATCACATCAATCTAATTGTAGAAAGGGGAGGAGATTAAAAGAAGTTTAGCATGAGCAACCAATTGCAAGATTGATCTTTAAAACCAGTAATAATTTGTGTGCTACTGCACCTTAAAATGAGCCGCATGTGTGAGGTCTATGCAACAAAATGTTATAGGAAGTTCAAATATGTAGTGTAGAGAAAGAGGGTGTGGAATCTACATTCTTTTGCGGGGTTGTCCATAAAAAGATAAATGTTTTAAACGCAAACATAAATCACGAGATTTACATGTTCTGAGCTTTTCGCGTGGGAAGCTAAAGCCTGAACAACAAAGTTCCCACAATGATGTGATGACATCTGAAACAATGAGGTCTTGAAAACTCTCTGTAATAACTCATTGTATACAGTATCAGGAGAAACTTCGAGTATGACCTGTACAATATAAATACAAAATTAAACTCCAACAAACTATACCAATCCAGTGAAACTGATAGTAACCACCCTTAACTGTGTTGTGAAAGTCAAAGACCTAATAATCTCATACAAGTATCGATGCAGTTGCATGTCAAAGTAGTAGGATGAGAAAGACGAGTCCTAAAGATCTCTAGGACCAGAAAATTGAAGAACAGTACAAAATTTGTTCTAAAAAGTTTTAGACAAATTAAACAACATAGGGCCCAAATTCTTATCATACCTCAATTAGATGACTGTAAGCAGGTTCTTCTATATGCTCTGAAATTTCTTGTAATCTTGATCTTCCTATTAAGTTCCCGTCCATGTCCATGTCGAAACCAAGAATAATTTGAACTACTTTCAACAATAGCTCCAGTTCATTTCCAACCAATAGTTTCAAAGCTGTCTACCGTTTGATTGGTAGGATGTGTCAATAAGTACAATATGTGCCAAAACACGAAGAAATAATTAATTAACTAATTACTTAATTAAAAGTATCTTGACTCAAATTAAACACCAGGAAAATGTTAAAAGCATCAATCTAAAACATACCTGCAGGACCAAACTGCAATATTGATCCATGGCAAGATTAGAGATGTTTCCTCTTGTGGAATTTAACATTTCTAACACGAGGTAGTTGAGCAAATCTGGAAATCTCTGGCTAGAATATGACATGTTATTGTATTCTGATCGAGGAACCTTAAAGTTCATCCGTTCTGCCAGTACAGTTGCAGACTTCGTGATATGGAATTGGTCTAAGGGAATCCCATTCAATAGACAAAGAAGACTCCGAAGCACATGCGATCCATAGCAGTCGCACATTACATCAACAGGGTTGAGT